GGCCCTCGACATGCTGCGCACAAAAAAGGAAAATACCCGTATTCACTCATTCAGACAACCATTCGTTTTCAGTGCTTGACGCCTCCTGTCTGAACGATGTCAACGTTCTCTCCCTCCGACTGCCTGCCCACAAAAAGGACGTACACATAATTCATTCATCAATTCATTCATATCAGTGCTGACCGTCTCCAAGTGCTTTGGCCCATGTCACTTTCTCGCCTCCAATATTGCTGCGCACACAAAGGAAATACGTCAGTCAATCGGAGGTCAAAGGAAATACTGTCAGTCAATCATCAATTCATTCAGTGCTGACGTCGCACGTCCCCGACCCCGACTTTGCTTTCCGCCCTCCGACATGCTTGCGCACAAAAAGGAAATACGTATTCACTCTTCAGTCAATCATTCGTTTCAGTGCTGACGCTCAGTCTTGACCCGATGTTCCACTTTCTCTCCCTCCACATGCTGGCCGCACAAAAGGTACATAGATCATTCATTCAGATCATTCATTCAGTGCTGACGTCTCCCAAGTGCTTGCCCCCGATGTCAGCTTTCTCGCACCTCCAATAGTGCGCACACAAAGAGGCTAGATACGTTCAGTCAATCGGAGGCTCAAAGGAAATACGTCAGTGCAATCAATCATAATTCAGTTGTTGACGCCTAACTATCGTCTCTCCGTACCCTTGACCGGATCTGTTCGACTGCCTTTCTCGCCCTAAATTTTAATCGTGTAGACTTTTATAGCTGACATGCATAAAAGGAACACACATAGTCATTCATCTCAAATCAGGAACGACTATTGTAATATGTCATTTCATGTGCTGACAGCCTCCATGTGCCTGATACCAATGTCATTCTTTTCGCCCTTTACCATGCTGTGCAGTTCGAAGGATGGACACATTAAAAATATTATTTGGTCTATTCTTTAATTCAATTTCTTATTTCATTTCAGATCCAATACTGTCAGGCCTACCGACCGTAATGTCGCATTCTAGCCCTTCCGACATACATGCGCCACTAAGACAGGATAATACATATTCACGTATTCAATCCATTCATTCTCAGTGGTCACGCCTCATTTGCTATGACCCTCTAGATGACATCTCTTCTCAGCCCTTTCCGCTATATTGATGCACACACTGGATTCCACAACTAGACCATATTAATGTATTTATTCTTTAATTTAATCGTTCTGTAATATATTCATTCTATAATTTCTTTAATTTATTCATTATTTAATTCATTCATTTAATTCGTTCATTAGCTTTCACCTCTACATCATCATGCTGCTCATTCATTTCAGCACTCATGGCCACTAGGACCCCCCGACATGCTTCGCACGAGGGGCACAAATTTATTATCCAAATCATTTATTCTCTCTCTCATTTCAGCGTTGACGGCCCTTTACGTCCCTCTTTCTCGCCTTTCAACTGCAGTGACCAAAGATCCAAATGGTTTTGTTCTCTGTACAATTTTGTTTCACAAATGTCTTCCCAATCGTGATACTCACTAGAATTAGTTTTTGTGTTTACTTGGGGCGCAGTCAACGACTAATGTCATTATTCCCGTAAGTGCTGATACACATTTTATTTACGGAAGGTGCGTTGTGTACTCCCGTGATGGATATCCTGCACCGACCTACACGTTCGGCTTGTTTTTTCCTATTCAGATTGCGTTGTCTCATTAGGGGGCACCGTTTAGATCGCGAAACAACTCTAAGCTCCAGACTGCATCTCCCGATATGTGTATGTGTGGTAGTGTGGATCACATCAGTGAAAGTGTGTGTAAGAGGTTAGGTTAGGACAAAAAAGAAGTAGTGAAGATCTCGCGCGGTCCGTGGCCCGTTTGTTAGGATATTGCTCCGTCATTCGTCTGGTGTTGATCGGTAAAAGCACGGAAAACTACCTATCGTATCAGCGAAGCCGCTCGATAAAATTCTGCTCCAGACAGCGGTTAAATTCAACCTATCTCTGTAGCAAGTGTCAAAAAATGCTGCAACCGTTAGTACTCGAACCATAGGACCTTCCGGCAGAGGCACTGCAGTGACATCAGTTAATGACCTGAGCTACCTTTGTCGGTTGCTCAGGAGATATATGTCTTTTTAATATCTAATTATTTTGCATATTTGTTTATTTGTCCTTTTTGATAATAATTCATGATATTTTGGGGTTCGGATACAGGACGTCTTCTAAATAGACCTTTCGTCGAAATCGTAATTTTCTAATTATCAAAATTTTCAATATTTTATTCATATTCACACATGATATGCTTAGTGAATCATGAATGAAAATTCTCAACACTTTCTATCTCCGACCAATAATTGTCGACTTATTAAAATAATGCTATTGCGAAGTCCTAAATCTGACAACTAGTGACAGATTTTAGCGACACGCCCATCCAAGCATCCGGCATCCAAGAAATGGTACTCATTTTGTGCCGCTGAAAATAGATACAGGTTGCACAAATATTAATTGAACCTATGCGGGCCGTTCAAAAATAAATTATTATGTTTTGCCTTTCTGCCTATTAAAATGCACTACAATTGTGTAAAAACGTTGTCCATCGCCAGAAGTCTAAGAAGTGGGTAAAGACTACATACCATCCAAGCGTTGGGACATATCCTACCTGACAACAAAATCGCTATCCACAAAAAATGTAGGATATAAAATTTAAATAGTCATCGCGTTAGGAAAGAATTGGATGAGCAATGATTAGATAACACTATTCTCTTCGAGATTGTCTCGTGTGATAAAACAAGAGCAATATGCATTTGTCAACCTGAGAAAAGCTTTGTGAAACATAATGGCATAGATAGACAAGGGCGGTGCTGTTAGAGGAAATGTTGAAACACAGCTGGCTTTATGAGAGCATTAAACGGCGTGGGACTCTTGAGATAAGAAATGCACCATTTTTACATGGCCCTCTTGAGTGTGATTGCATTATGTCCTGGTCATAAAAGAGAAGTTTCTCTTTAGTTCCACGACTACGATAATAAATTCGAAAGTGGATTAGCGAAAAATGAATTCACG